CCTTACAGTCTATGGAAGAAATGCTCGGTCTGTAAAGCTTGCAATCTAAATTGCACTAATTAGCAATTAAAATCCAAGTCTGTCTGAGAACTGGTATTTGGCCACTGGATTGATTTCTCTAATGGCTTCCTATATCTCTTGCTGACTTTAATGGTTAGAGATTTCACCTTCTGAAGGTGTCATGCTCTTATATCTTCATTCTCCTCTCAATTTTTCAGGTTATAGAGAATCTAGCAGATAGAGCATTACATTATCACTCCATGGATAGCAGGTTGCTCTCCAGAAGAGTCCTCAAGAGATTTTTACCCCCTCTAAAAAAATTAAAAATAGGTGGATGCAAGATTAAGGCTACGTTCACACTAGCGTTGTGTGCAGGCGGCAGAGAGGCGTTTGGGAAGCGTTTTTACCGCTTTCCAAACGCCTCTGCCAATTCTGCACATTATAGCACATGGTGCTGTTCTAACGGGAGCGTTTGCGTCGCGTCGTGTCAAAACGGAAGCCTCTGGTCGAGTCAGGAGGCGTTGAAGCCTCCTATTCTAGTCTATGGTGCCGCTCCGCAAACGCCGGTTGCGACGCGGTTGTGGGGCGTTTGCGGAGCGGTAACACCATTCAAACTGCATTATAGGCGTTTGTGGTGCGTTTTTAACGCTTGGCAAACGCCTAGCAACCGCTGCTAAACCGCGCATGCGCAATGTATGCCGAGCGTTAAAAAATGCTCCGCAAACGCCGGACCAACGCTTGCCAAACGCTATAGGGGCGTTTGGCAAGCATTGGTAAAACAGTCAAGTGTGAACGAGCCCTTAAAGTGGAACTAAATCCTACTATTCATTTTCCGCCAAGGAAACTGCCATTTTAGCCTGGGTTTGATCTTCAACTGCCATTGTACTGCAAATGTGACCAGTTAGGACACCAGCTATTTGATGGTTGGACAGTTTGGTTGAGAGTACAAGTAAATATAACAGTTACATTCCTGGCATTTGGGGAATGTAACATTTTTTTGAAACTGTTAAATCAATGGGTTTAATTTGCTTTAAAGTGTAACCGAAGGCAAAACTTTTTTTTCATTTTGAACAGAGTAAGGGAAGGTTATGACCCTTTTGTTGCCATCTGTGTCCTATTGAGGAGATTTCCCTTCAGTTCCTGTCCCAGAGCCAAAACAGGAAGTGAGAGGAAATCCCTGCACAGTGGGAGAATCCCGACATGATACCAGGGTCACCAGAACTAGTGTCCCCATGGGTAAACTGACCCTCTATTACTGTTCTGTTGTCAACCCAAAATTTGTGATTTTCATTTACGTTTGATAAACAAAGGCAAATGGAGAAGGTAAATCTCCCTGATGGGCGCAGACAGCAAGAAAAAATGGACAGGTGTTCTAATCCCAATCCACTATCTAATCTACATCTAAAAAAAAAAAAAAAAAAAAAAAAAGTTTTGCCTTTAGTTATACATTAATATCACAGGCATTACCTTCATTAATACAATTGAAGTTGATCTCTCCAATATATAATTTAGCATGGTTGACCATAACTTTTCATATACTGAGTTTGACATAATTTTTGTTATATAATTTGCAACACTGAGATTTACAGGGGGAGAAAATCCATCTGTCGCCAGAAACTGCAGCCACAGACACTAGGAATGAGGTTCAAAGGCCTTCCTACACTGTTGCAGGCTTCCAGTATAAGCATTCCAGGCATAGAGATATACACAGCTTTCTTCTATACATTCAAGAATTTGTCATCACACCATAAGAGCTGACATCACTGTACTGGGCATTACTCCAACATATGTGTTCATTAGATGTTACTAAAATGTGCTGCCACTCTTAACCAAACTGATACTGATTTTCAACATTGAACACAGCTGACTGGTTTGTGTGAACTGCAACACATACAGTTTATGTGCAGCAGCCTATTAAAGGGCCAGTCCACCCTGATTTAGACTATGGCTTCTTGAAGCAGATTTTTACTTTTCCAATAAACTTCCCTCCAATCCACCCCTCCTCTATTTGAATAGGGCTGTTTCTTTTTTCATACCCTTTTATTAAAAGAAAAATGTGTAGTCACACCCCCCAAAACCCCCCAAAACTCAAAACCCCCAATGCACGCAACCCACCTAGGTGAATGACTTTACAGTGCTCACTGTGCCTACTGGGAGGCATAGCCCTTCATTCACAAAGGAGAAGGGGGTCATACCTAGCGCCGCATCATCGTCTGAACCCGGAAGAGCAAGCAGGCCTCTTGATGATGTCACAAACAACATGGCGGCGTGGGACCGAGCAGTTGCAAAAGATACAAGGATCTCAGCTGGACAACGCTGGATCCTCTGGGTGGGTGTGTATCTGAAATGCACACACAACACACCACCACCCGATAAGGGTAAAAAGAAAAAAAATGGGGGAGGGGGTGAAGATCTGCTTGAGGTCCAGTTCACACCACAAAAACGCACTCCGGATGCATTTCAAATACGTTTTTGCTTAAAGTTCACACCAGTGCAGTTTTGATGCAGTTTGACATGTTCCAGTATGGTTCTGTGCAACAAATGCAGCCTGTTCTACTTTTGTTTTCTGCACCAAAAACTGACTGCACTGGTGCGAACTAGGGCCACTGGAATACATGGAAAACACTGTGCATGCATTTTTGAAGCAGAAAAAAGCCGCACTGCACCTAGTGTGAACTAGCACTTAAACCTCATTCACATGAGCCTCCTGCATTTGTTTTATTTAAATGCAGGAGTGATTGTTTCATTTTTGTTTTATGCCAAATGTACATCTGTTTACATATAGATCAGTTTACATGCATTTAGGTGTGCTTACATGCATTCAGGGTATCTAATCTACCCCCTGGACATACAGATTTCTATTTTTTCTAAACACAGTTAAACTGAATGCACTTAAAACAGACACACACCATTTAAAATCAATGCATGAATTTTAGAAATGTCCTAAAATGTATATAAATTGCATGTATGTCATTGCCTGTGAGAATGAAGCCTTAAAGGTCTTTATTACTGCAGCAATAAGATCTCCCTGTCACAATTTCCAGCTCTGTGCCAAATAATAAGCAGCTTTTGGTGTTGCAACCCATCTCTGCTTGCTTTAGCACATTTTGATGCATTTACATAACATATAGCAAAAAAAAATGTCAATAGGGAGAGGAGAACTCCATACAATTGCACAGCAGTTGTGCACAACAAGGAATGCAAGAGCAAATATCTTTCCTATAAAACTGCAAGATGTTGTAACACTAAAGCATCTACCGAACAATGAAATGCGAATTTGGGGTAAACAGACTGCTTGAATAAAAACATGAGGCCTGATACACAAGAGCGCATGAGGCTGTCCAAAGTACTTTGTGGGTGTATTTCCACGCCTGGGAGCCACAGTTGCAACACACAGCCACTCATAGTAATAAATGGCTGTACATAGGTATATACATGCATAGACATACGTACAGGAATACATTCCTTGACACACACAAGCCACAATCAGGGATTTCTGCCCATGCATGCGTTTACGCAAGTATGGAATGCGCCATTCATTGCTATGAGCGTCTGTATGCTGCAGTTGTGTCTCTTGTTTGAGGAAATATGCTGCAATTTACTTGGTATGACTTCATGTACCCGTGTGCATGAGGCCTAATAGAGATCATTTTTGTTATTATATATCTTGGATGCCTGCATGTTAGACATGTCAAATATTGTTGCTTAATGTGACCAAATACATATTGACATTTATCCAATATGACCAATTACTTCTTAGAAGAGGCACTGGGAACAAATACTCAATAATACGCACATCATGGCCACACTATATTTGGCTGCTATTCAGCAGGACATTCCTGGCTGATTTATGAAATGATTAGTCTGTGAACCTCTGGAGTAGATTATCTCTGTGTATATTTGCCCCCTCTCTGAAGCGCTCACAGCCAGGGAACTCTATGAGATCTGTTTCTCCCAGAGCACACACTGCAGTCCGGGGTCGATGTGACTGAAAACCTGAAAAATCAGTGGACACTCCAGTTCCCACAGACCGGTAGGGGCGACGTGTGGAATACATCTGGCGGACATGAACAGGCGCCCTCTTTCGACACCATTTTTTTCGTGCCACTCTAGAACCCCAAGCAACCAACCCCAGCAGAAGCAGCAATGCATTGAGGGCAAGCAGTACTAAGGCTAGCAACTGGTAGTTTAACCAAGGACGCTCATCTTCTGCAGGTAATGTCACAAGACCTGCACAATGCTCCCTAGGAGCTACAGGACATGCTCTACCACCAATAAGGCTTTCAACACACACTAAATATGGAGTATCTCCCGTCAGCTCCTGTAATGTTAAAGATTCTGTATGACCCCTTGGGTAGACAAAGCGCTGAAAGCGTCCACCCTGACCAAATCGCTCATAAAGGACCCTGAACAGGACAGGTCCATGAGTATGTGGTACCGTCTGCCATCGCACCCGAGCTGTAGTGCTTCCTACGTACTCCACAGACAGGTTAAGTAAATAAAACTTGTTGAATTCACATGGATCAGACAGGATGGATGGAAAAGGTGCAACTTGATGCAAAGTTTCACTTTGCTCACGTTGGGTAGAGTGGAGAGAAGGCTGCAATGTGTCAGAATGACTCCGGAGTGCAGTTTCTACTTCGTGGATGTCCTTCTGCAGTTTTTTTTAACTTCAGGTGTGAGTCACCAGTTTTTTTGGCATTTCAGATGTTGAATGCAAAGTGCCAGTTACATCAGAGTGCTCAGGATTGGAAGGGAGATTTAAAGAGTCAGGGGGCTGGTGATGTAAAATTTCAACATCTGGAAGACTATGATGTAAATTGTTGGATGCTGAGATTGGAGCCTCAGATTGTTTGAAAGGCAGCTGTTTTAATTTCTCACTTGCTGGCTGGAATGTAGCAGGGTGTTGCTTTTCAGTCTCTGGGTACTGCTGGCTAGGGTTCAGCAAGTTCAACTTCGATTGTGTTGGATTCCGAGTTCCACCAGAAGCCTTTGTGTTTTTACTTTTGCCTGTTTGTGATATTTTTTTGCCGTTTTTCTGCATTGCTCCTTTTGGCACCTGATGGCAATTTTGTGGTGGGAACACTTAATACAGATGCCAATGTTTGAGGCAAAATGAGGGCTTCTGGTGATTGCGTAGAGACAGGCAGTAATAAACTTGCTTTTGAATCCAAATGATCAGAATCTGCTTCACTTTTCTGACCTTCAGGTGAAGGATGCAAAACCAGATGTTCACCTGGTACAGTGCTGGACATCCCTTTAGGGGTTGTAGTATAAACACAGCCTTCAGTTCCCTGTAAATAAGCATCTTCCAGATAGTCCAAATACTTTCCTGCTACTTCCTGGGGCTCGCTGCACTTTACAAACACTGTTAGCATTCGTATCCGTGTGTGTAGGGTTCCTAAAATCCAGTGTTTGAGCCCCAAGAGATGACAGTTGCAGTTCCATCGATTGCCATCTAGCTGTAGCCTGTAAAGAGCTGAATTTTCCGCAAGGATATCCCCAGGCAGAAAACTAAGCATATTATACTGCAGATCCAGAACCCTCAGCCGACTTAATCCACTGAATGTTCTAGGCAGCAAACTGGACAGAGAATTATGGCTCATATTTAATACCTCCAAACTTTGCAGCGAAACTAGAAGGCTTTCAGGCAGATTGCTCAGTAAGTTTCCATCAAGGTGCAGCTCTTGCAAAGATCCCAATCCCTGAAAAGTCTTGCTGTGTAGATGAGAAATCCTGCTTGAGCTAAGAACGAGCTTGGAAAGCCTCTGTAGTCCATGAAAAACACCTGGTCCCAGTTGCTGCAGATTATTTCCAGCCATGCTAAGTGTGCTAAGGGAGCGCAGTGGTAAAAATGTGGGATGGCGTAAGGAGTTTAGGGGGTTCCCTGAAAGGCTCAGTAAACGCAATTTTACAAGCCCTGAAAAAGCATTTTTACTGATATTTGTAATTTTGTTGTTTTCCAGATGGAGATAAAGCAGATTAGGAAGCCCCTGAAAGAGAGAGCCATGCAGTACCTGGATGTTATTCCCGTCCATTCTTAGTTTGAGCAGTGACCCCAGGCTGGAGAAGCTGGCACGACTGACATTTTGTAGTCGGTTGCTATTCACATTCAATACTTTCAATTTCTTAAGAGCTGACAATGCACCAGAGGTAAGCGTCTGAAGCTGATTGTTGCCAAGGTAGAGCTCTTCCAGATTGGAAAGCTTGTCAAATGCCTTGGGATGAATGAAATGGATCCGATTGTACTGCAGATCAAGCCGTTGTAGATTGAAGTAGTTTGAAAAGTCTGTAGTGCTGATGTTGGTGATAAAATTTCCTCCCAGACTGTAGGTTTTGGTCCCAAAAGGTTCAGTATGTGGCTAGATTTGGGCACAGAGACTAGCCCTCTGTTTGAGCAGAGGATATGCTGGAGATGCTGGCAGTCACATGGCTGTGGGCACTTCTCCTCCACACCATAGCATAGACCGCAAAGCAGCAACAGCAGCTGTAAAGTGACAGTTTTCTCCATCTCACCTGGAGCAGTGGGCAGATGAACCCAGCTCTGTGCATCCCCTATGTGCATGCAGCCTTAGCAGTCCACTTCTATGACTGTTGTTACGGCAGATCCTCCAGTACATCAGCATCTCGTTGATTTCTACATTGCTTTGTCACATGTAGCAGCTATGGGAAATGAGTACAGCTCTACAGATTGCAGAACACATCGCCAGCAGTTACTTGCAGCATGAACACTCACTGTGCACTGCAGCTCTCCAGTGAATGGCAGTCGAATTGTCACATCTGTACAGGAGCAGACGGGGCTGCTGGCTCAGAGGGTCCCCTGTCTTCTGGCTGGACAGCACAGCCCTTCCCAGCTTGCAGCAGCAATGAGCGCTAGACCAGATGTTACTGTACATGGTGCAGCCCCTTTGCAGCCACTCTCACATCCATGGCAACTTGACTTCTTACAGTTGGTCTAGAAATCCCTCCAAGTTTGCACAGCTTAGGGTCAGACAGGCATCCAGGTGGCCATGTGAGTGTGAGTCCTCTTCAAAAACCCAGCTCTAGGAAATCCAAGGCTGCAGCTTCTTTTGTTCAGGATTCAGAAAAAAGAGAAGTTTAGTGCGGAAATACGTGCTTCCCACACTGGGTCCCCTGAGATTGTTAGCTAGGAAAGAGGATCCTGGAGAGGCAGCACAGAGCTGCTGGTGGGAGGAGGAAACAAGCAGCACATGTGAGGGAAGAGAGGACACACTGCTAGGGAAACAACGTGCCACTTGGAACAAAGGGGACACCGAGCCAAAGGCAGATGACCTAGTGAGAGCCTGCTGAATGCTGCTCTCATAGACATGTCCTGCTGCCCTCACCTTCTCTCCCCCCCCCCCTTCAAACATCAGTAGGGGCAGTTAAAAAAAAACATTGTCTATCCTAACTGGTGCTGTTGCCCATGGCAACCAAGTTGCTTCTATCTTTTTTTTTTTTTGACACAGCTTAGAAAATGGAAATTTAAATCTTCAGTTTAGTAATTTTTACACCTTTCCTTTGAAAAAAAAAACATAGTAAAAACATGCATTTTTCATGGGAATTGGGTGCATTTTCTAGCTGCCTGACTCCAATCATGCGCCTGTGTAACATGGACATGCGACTCAAAAAGAACATAAAAACCGCAAACCACAGTACTTTTTTGATGTTATTTATTATTTCAGGTACTTATATAGTGCACTCAATTTACGCAGCACTTTACATATATATTGTACATTCACATCAGTGCCTAACCCTCAAGGGGTGAACAATCTAAGGTCCCTAACTCACATTCATACAAACACATACTAGGGCCAATTTAGACAGGATCCAATTAAACTACCAGAATGTCTCCGGAGTGTGGGAGGAGGAAACCGGAGTATCCGGAGGAAACCCACGCAGGCACAGAGAGAACATGCAAACTTTAGGCAGGTGGTACCATGGCTGGGATTCAAACCAACGACCCTAGTACTGCTTGGCAGAAGTGCTAACGATTTAGCCACTGTGCTGCCCATATGATGTGTTTTCCATTCATTTCAATGAGGAGGTGCATTTTTGACATGCTTTTTAAACATGCACTAAAAATGCAGCACGCAGGAAATTTAAAAATGCACCGCACTCGCAGCATATTGGTGGAAAAAGTGCCTTACTGTTTTCATGTACGTTTGTCCTGCTTTTTAACTATTTGCAGACCAGCGACATACCCATATGTCATTGGACTATGAGCAGTTATACCTGGATGATGCCTGGATAGCAGGAGGGGACATTCCCACCCCCCAGGGCTCTCCTGTCCCACCGGCTGGCACATCCATAGGCTGGCTGGACAGCCAAACAAAGCTGGGATCGGCTTTAATTGGCTCTCCACTATTGTAACCTGGAAGAGATGACTTGACATCACTTTCGGTTTACCCAGATGTCAATTGCACCCTTTTTATAAAAAATGTAAGCATTCAAAAACACCGATCTTGGTGTTTTTAATGCTTTTAAGGGCAGAGGAGGGATTTGGGGTCTTATAGACCCCAGATCTATCCATAAAGAATACCTGTCACATAGCTATTGCTGTCATAAGGATGTTTACAGTCCTTGTGACAGCCATAAAAGTGATAAGTCATTTAAAGTGCCCCCATCCCCCCTGTGCTTTCACACATGCAAACAGCAATCGCCCCACACATGAGGTATCATGTCAGATCCTGGGCAGTAATTCTAGCACTAGGCCTCCTCTGCAAATCTAAACTGGTAACCTGTAAAGGCTTTTAAAGTATCGCCTATGGATAGTACAATTTACATTGTTTGTTGCCGTTGCCCAAACATGGGTAATGTGTGGCATATTTGGTATCTTTTTACTCGGCGTAACATCATTTTATATTTTACAAAATAAATTGGGTTATGTGTTGTGTCTTTTTGCATTAAAATAAAAAACAAAAACAAAGAAGTGTATTGTTTCCTAAAAAAAACTGTGTTTGAAAAGCCGCTGCGCAAATACCATGCGACATAAAAAATTGCAAAACCCACCATTTTATTCTTTAGGGCCTCCGCTTTAAAAGTTATGCAAGAAATTCTGATTTTTACATGTAAACAAAAATGTCATAAAAAAAGGCCTGGAGGTCAAGTGGATACAAATACCATGGGATGCAAAGTGTTGCTTGTGCTGGTGGCTGCTCTGTTAATCGACATCTTCAGCTCTCCCCCCCCCCCCCCCACCCTGGCAGCTGTGATCTTCCAGTGATGCCAGGGTTAATACAAGCCACTGGATCTGTCACAGACACCCATCAAAATATCTGCCCTTCCTGCTCCCTCCTCCATTCATAAAAGCTATCTTATTACATCCCAGAATGAAAAGCGCTCTATGAATGGAGGAGGCAGACCTTTCATTCATCCACCCATACGCCACACCCATACGAAAGCTTTTAATTGCAGGAAGCAATAGATCAGCTTCTATGAATGGAGCAGGTGGTAGCTCATATTAACCTCTAAAGCACCAGAAGATCACAGCTGCGGGGGTAAGGGGGGTAGAGAACCGAAGAATTTAATGAACAGAGCAGCCACCAGCACAAGGGACACTTCTCATGCAAGTATTGTCCATTGTGCTGATTAAAAAAAAATTGAACTGTAAAAGATGAATAGCTGTGCTCTAGTTGAGACAATGAGAGTTTTTCTACAGACACGTTTTATTAAAATTACCTGAATTAATGTATCTGCTGCTATACAGCAACACTGGGGCTAAAACTGGAGCAAAAGTGCACAGGTTCTCTGGCTAAAGGGGAAAAATCTTGCCAGCACAGCTATGGTCGCCATACATGAGACAATTCTATATGTGGCTGTATTGTTGATAAAAAGTATTAAAAAGTATAAAAAGATAAAAAAGGGCAAAAAAGTATTTAGTCAGCCACCAATTATGCAAGTTCTCCCACTTAAAAAGATGAGAGAGGCCTGTAATTGGCATCATAGGTAGACCTCAACTATGAGAGACAAAATGAGAAAACAAATCCAGACAATCACATTGGCTGATTTGGAAAGAATTTATTTGCAAATTATGGTGGAAAATAAGTAGTTGGTCACCTACAAACAAGCAAGATTTCTGGCTCTCATAGACCTGTACCTTCTTTAAGAGGCTCCTCTGTCCTGCACTCATTACCTGTATCAATGGCACCTGTTTGAACTTGTTATCAGTATAAAAAACACCTGTCCACAACCTCAGTCACACTCCAAACTCCACTATGGTGAAGACCAAAGAGCTGTCGCCAGACACCAGAAACAAAATTGTAGACCTGCACCAGGCTGGGAAGACTGAATCTGCAATAGGCAAGCAGCTTGGTGTGAACAAATCAACTGTGGGAGCAATAATTAGAAAATGGAAGACATACAAGACCACCGATAATCTCCCTCGATCTGGGGCTCCACGCAAGATCTCACCCCGTGGGGTCAAAATGATCACAAGAACGGTGAGCAAAAATCCCAGGACCACACAGGGGGACCTAGTGAATGACCTGCAGAGAGCTGGGACCAACGTAACAAAGCCTACCATCAGTAACACACTATGCCGCCAGGGACTCAGATCCTGCAGTGCCAGACGTGTCCCCCTGCTTAACCCAGTACATGTCCGGGCCCGTCTGAAGTTTGCTAGAGAGCATTTGGATACCCCATAGAAAACCTTTGGAGGGAGTTGAAAGTCCGTGTTGCCCAGCGACAGCCTCAAAACATCACTGCTCTAGAGGAGATATGCATGGAGGATGGGCCAACATACCAGCAACAGTGTGTGCCAACCTTGTGAAGACTTACAGGAAACGTTTGACCTCTGTCATTGCCAACAAAGGATATATAACAAAAGTATTGAGATGAACTTTTGATATTGACCAAATACTTATATTCCACCATAATTTGCAAATAAATTCTTTCCAAATCAGCCAATGTGATTGTCTGGATTTTATTTCTCATTTTGTCTCTCATAGTTGAGGTCTACCTATGATGCCAATTACAGGCCTCTCTCATCTTTTTAAGTGGCAGAACTTGCACAATTGGTGGCTGACTAAATACATTT